GACTAATTCATTATATTAGGAGGCGGAAACGTTGTTCAGATGGGTTCTTACAATAGTTTAGACCAGATACATTCGCGAAAGTGGTCGCTTATTACAGGTGTTGTGTGTTGTTTCGGACCAAAAATCGATGCCCGCGGTCGCGTTACACAGGTGATCGTTTAATACAGGTAACTTATACAAAGACTCTATGGATAAACTATTCAATGCCAGAAATTTTTGCCCGCTTTGACAGGTGCCCATCGAATGGAGGTGGTTGCCTAAGCTGTTTTTACTGTATATTGATTGATGATGATTACCATTTGAGAAACAATGTTTTGGTCCTCAGTGTCTACATTTAAAGAATACAAAGAACAGAGTATTACGAATGAATTGGACGAACACTGCAAATTAAACTCGCAATTATTGAGGACTAAAAATACTAGATTTTTGGTCATTAATAAATTTCGAATTAAGAAACCATGCAAAAATGCTATATCGCCTTCGGATTGGTCGAATTATTTGAGAGAGTATTTCGCTGGATCTAATACAGTAATTTATTGATCATCTAAAAGAAACATTATTACTAATCACTTTGAATGAATTAAAATCATTAAAATCCCGGTCCCGATAATATAAGGAATGAAATGATAAAATACCTTTCTACAGAAATATTGGATATGTTTAATTCCTTTTGGTCTAGTTGCTCTTTTCCTTTATCTTGGAAACAAATCGCTTTAAGGATGATGTATAAGAGGGGAGAGTAAGTAGGCATTTATAGACCAATTGCTTTAATTAGCGTATTTAGAAAGGTTTTTCCAACTATTATGTTAAATCGTCTCCGGAATTGGACGAATGAGTTTAATATTGTTACACCTCTCCAAGGAACATTTATTAAAAATTGAGGTGTCGAATACAATTTGTTTATTTTGGTTGGTCTTACTTAAATATCACTTTCGAGGAAACGAAGGAAATTATATACTGCTTTTCTTAAGAAATCTTTCGATACAGTCAATCGTGATTTGTTATGGTATAAGCTTAGGAGTATTGGTCTTTCTGCGTTTTTCATTAATTTACTTGAGTTTTTTTCTAATACAAGATATCTTATAGAGGATTTTTCATTTTAAACTGATTATGTCGAGTCTAATAGAGGGTTACCTCAAGAAAAACCATTGAATCCGATCTTTTTTGAATGATCTTACCGACCTTCTCAGAGGTCAAAGCTGGCGAGAAGATGGCATTATCTTCTCGGCCCACCAGTGACCAAGCGGTTCCGTTCCCTAAACACTGGGAGTTCGATCCTGGGTTTGCGCCTGGCCAGGACGGGCTGGCCAAGTAGAGTTTTCCGGGTTTTCTCCACGTCTGTAACGCCCGAATAACGCCGGATGCCAGTTACTCTTAAAAATACATCTCGGAACATTGTCTTCCCATGTTGAAATTAACTGTCTTTATGCTGATGTCCTCTTGGTCAATTCAGCTTCTGCGCTTAGAGAAAGACTCTATCTCTTTGAGGTAATGTGAAGATAATCGATTGACAATTAATTAATTCGGAAAAGACAAAAGCTTGTGATTTTTTTAAGTTCACCACCTCTACGATAAAACACAAAATTTCAGTTTAGAAAACTGGAAATTGTGCCAAATTTTAAATATCTAGGTATTGTACAGGGCACATTTTCCTATCATTTAAATAAAAGTTGACTTTATGAAAGGGCTAAAATTTCCAATCTCATCAACCTATTTATTAAAATTAATCTAAAATAATTATTTAATGAAGATACTTTATTTGATTGGACTAAGTATTTTTCACGCTTTTCCAGTTTGGGATGGTATCGTAGTGGACAGATTTTAGACAATACAGTTGTTTTACTTTAAGCAGGTGTTCCATATTAATAATCTGTTTCAAGACCTGCAGTGAGAATGGAACTGGGAAGACCTCTCGCCATTAATCTATACTATTATTATAAAGAGGTAATGTTTGTAAGTTTGTTTGCAGCAGGTAATCTCCGAAACTACTCATCCGATTTCAAAAAGTCTTTCACCAATATTTAGAATGGAACCCCAGGGTGGACATATATGAATGTTTAACGGAATAATATACAGTCTAAATTAAATGATATCATCTATGGTTAAGGCTTTTATGTCCAACAGATGGCGCTACGAGTACGACGCCCTAAGTTTGCTTTTCTGTGAGGTTGAACTAAAGCGGATAATCTTCTGTCTATTTATATAAATAAAAATGTAATGTTTGTTTGTTCCTACCGATTCCTTTGAAATTTTGACACAACGCTGCATTCGAATACGCACGTGTTTTTATATAATATACGTGTCGAAATTCAACCCCACTAAAGGGAGATGGTTAGGATTAAGGCTTACGGTAAAGAACTCTGCTTCTATTTATACTATTTTAGATGCGGGTTTTTGCGTTTTAATAGGGTACGTCAACAGAATGTACACTACAAAGGGATTTTTCGATATTCCCACCGCGGGGGAGATGGACAGGATTAAGGCTTACCGTGAAGAACTTGGCTTCTATTATACTAATTCAGATGCGGTTTTTTGCGTTTTAATAGGATAAGTCAAGAAAATGTACACTAAGGGATTTTCGAAAAATTTTCCCCACCCCCCACGGGGGAAGTGTTATACATTTATAATAGATACATTTTGAGCTACAATAACGCGTGGCGGGGTCTGCTAGTTTATCGATAATTTGTCGGTTTTGGAGGAAACTTATTGACCTACTGGAATACGATTACCGAAAATTGATATACACAAGACTTTCACGGATAAATGATAATTCTTTTTGAATCCATGGCCTGTTATAATTTAATAATTCTTTAACTATAACTAAAAAATACATAATATTGGATTGTCCTCAAATAAAAGTTTGTTACTCCTGGACTGTGATCAACGGACAGATTTATATTGGTCAAAAGATGTTCATTATTTGAGTGAAAGGGGTCGTGGAATGTGGACTCCAGCACTATATTATCTAATTTGAGTTACAAAATAGTCATTTTCTGCACAGCTCAGTTAAACTTAAACGGTAAAATAATTAATCGAAAACTTATTTAATGTCTTGTGTGACACCAAGTGTTTTTGTGGAATGACAGTGATGAAGATGAGAAAACACCTTGATTCTTGTAATATTCTTTTGCACCAAGGTCTGTATAAGAAGGTCAGGACACGTGGGACCTACTGATTGAGCCGCCATTTTGGGGTATTTTGCATCGCATGTTTTAAGCAAACTTGTTCGAGCAGTCTGTTTTATACGACATTAATTAAACAAAAATTGCATAAATCCAGTGATTTTCAGTCGAAAATATAATAATAATTTTGGATGATTACGCAACCCCAATTTTATGTAACTTTTCGATCAAATAGTTTAAAAGAAACAATCAACTATATCATTTTCTGTCGCGATTGAAACTAATTAAATAGGTGCTAAAACTGATGCAATTACGTATATAGACACTTCGTAAAGTGATGCAATAACATCAAAAAAAATTTAAAGTATAATAAAGAATATAATAATATAACAAATTTATAATTATTTTTTAAAAGCACGATTGGCTATAAAATTAAGATAAAATTCAATAGTATTATTAATAAATGTTGTCAATGTAATACTCATTTTATAATAAGTAATAGATGTGTAGATATATTTTTAATTTATAAATAGCTTTCAAAAAATTCCAAAAATAAAATTTAAAATTAAATTATTTGACAATAAACTATATATATA